GCGCTGCTCATCCTCGAGGCTGCGCGCCGCGGCCTCATCCCGCGCGTCACCCGCCGCCTCGTCGACGCCGAGCGCAGGATGATCTGCTCGGGATCTGTGTTTGTGTTTGATGAGGACGAGAGCGGGATTAAAAGGTGGACGGACGGGTTCTTTTGGAGCCCGTCGCGGATATTGGGCAACTTTTTGCTGTATCGGGAGACGGATCGAAGGGGGGCAGGGGGGCGGGGTGCGGAGGGGAAGGGTGCGGGTGCGGGAGAGGGGGAGGGCGGGAGTAAGGCCGACGCGGGCGAAGGTGGGAGCGCGGGACTAAGTCGGCCGCGAGGGGGCGGCGGTGGGGAGGGCGCGCTGGGCGTGGATCGGCACCGCGAGAGAACGCTTGTGGGCAGCTTGACAAACAGCTACAAGTTCAAGCAGGACGGGCTTATGAAGAAGGTAAGACGACGACTGCTACTCTGCTATCTGGCGACTCGTGGTCCCGCGTTGTGTCTGTCCGGCGGCGTCGTCTTGGGCTACTCTGCGTTGCGCGCCCTGCCACCCTCGTCCTCCACGTCTAGACCGGGAGCAGCTTGCGAGCTCTTGCGCGCGCGTGACTAGGGATGCCTCTTTTCCCTTCCCATCCACCCCACGTCTGACGGTTTTCTTCCATCCTGCCATCCATCCCTCCCTATTTTCAATATCTATTTTTCTTCGCACAGCTAACCACCAACCCGCAGACATTCTCCCTCACCACCGCCAACGTCACGCAGCACCTCATCTCCTACTACAAGATCGCGGACGTCGAGTCCGGCCGCCTGCGCGCGCCGTCGTCGCTCCCCGAGCTTGCGAGCCTCGACATCGCGCCCGCACTGCTCGAGAGGGGGAATTTTCGGTGAGTTGCAGAGGGCTTTTTCTTTTTCTTTGCGGTTTTTTCATTTTCGTTTTCGTGCTCTTGCTTTCTTTCCTGCTGGGAATTCTCATGCTCGTGCCTTGCGCGTCCTTTGATGCTCTCGCCTTCCGTGCTCTCGCGCTTCGTTTCCACTTTCGTCCCGCCCGCTTGGTTCTTCATACCCCGCCCTAGCGTCTTTCTCCTCCGTATCCCTACCACCCCCCCGCCCGTACTTGCCTCTACCATCCCACCCCTCCCTCCCCCACCTCTTTTCGTGCCCACTCTATTTCTCGTTTTATAAAAATTTCAAATAAATCCATTTTTTTCATTCGGCTCGCGCGCCACTTTTTCCTCGACTCCGCCTTTCTCTTCCCCCGCTCGCGCTCATCTTCTCCCTTCCTGTCTCCCGCTCGTCTTTCCCCTCCTGTTTCTCGCTCGTCTTCCACCCCTCCATGTCCCTCCCGTACACCCTTTAGGTTTTGGCGCACCTTTTAGGTCTGGGTGGCGTTGGGGGCGCATTCCTCTAGGCGCACCTTTTCCACGCCGTTCCCTGGCCGTCCATCACTCATAGCCCCTCCTCTTTGTTCCTTCCCTTCTCCCCCATCTCATACTTCCGCCCCGCCCCTCTTGTGCTTGCTCCTCGCCTCCACCACCCCGCGCCCCACCCTTCGCGACTCTACCACGTTCATCTTGCACCACATTATGTATAGTCATCTCCGCCCCACTTTATCCTTCATCGTCGTCTCCGTCTCCTCGTCCACCTCCAGCCCCGCCCGCCTTCTTCCCCTACTCGCTCTCCTCCCTCCTCCGCAATGTCTTGCTCTCCCGCGCGCGCACTACCCTCTCCGCTTCCACGCATTCCCGCCGTCCTCCCCACCTTCGCACCGCCCTTCCTCCTCGTCCGCCCTCCTTCCCCGTACCCTCCTCCGTCTTCTTTCCCTTCCCGTCTTCCTCGCTTTCTGCCACATATCTTCCACGACGCCTCCTCTTCGTCTTCGTCTCTGCCCCCCGCTCTTACTTGCACTTCCACCCCTCTCCATGTCGCGCGCTCGTACGCCCGTCCCTGCCCGCTTCCACCCCCTCGATGTCGGGGCCTGCACGGTCTTACATCCTCGCTGCTTTCCTTCCTCCCTTACCGCTTTCGTATTGCCCCCCCTCTTCCTATCGTCCGTACATACATACTCCCCATCCATCCCTCCACTCGCACCCTTCTTGGCCTCCGCCCCCATCCGTGCCCATCTTCTGTTCCCTCCTCCCGTCCTCCCTCCCTTCCACTTCCCCCATCACGCCCGTCTTCTCCGTGCCCCCTTATTTTTGTATCAATAACCCAATCATCCCCCCCGTGCGGATTCCTCCTGCAGCCTGCATATACCTCCCCCCCCGTCACATCCGCTTGTGCGTGCGCCCGCCCTCCGCTCCCATTCGCGTCGCGCGCGCATTTTTTTTTCTCTGAATTTGGCCAGGGGCGCGTCTCTCATTCCTTCCTCTTTTGCTTCGTACCGCCCTCGTTCTTTGCTCGTCCCCTCCTCCTCATTCACCCTTCTCTTTGCCCCTTCCCGCTGTGTCTGTACATACCCCATTGCCGTCTCCGTTTTCTATACTCTTTCTATTTATCTGCCCCCTTCCGTCGCCTGCCTCTTCCTCCGTTTCCACCGCCTCACTCGTTTTTCGTGCACCCCCCTCCCGTACCGCCCGTCTCCATGGCCATTCACGCCCTCTCTCTCCTTCATCTTCATATTTTCATACTCATATTCGTTTTGGATCTTCTTTCCAATTATCCATCGTATCTCCTCCCACACACGCCGATATAACAACACCCTACTAACCTCATTTTTTGCAGCTGCCCACCCAAAACCGAGATCGGCGTCGACGGCGTCCCGCGCTACCGCGGCGAGGCGGACGAGGTGCTCGCGGCCGGCATCGGGCTCGGCCTGGGCGATTTGGGCTCGGGGCTCGCGAGCGTGGTGAAGCCGAAGGCGAAGGCGAGCTTGAAGGGTGTGGCGGGCAGGGCGGCGCGTTCACCGGCAAAAGGGTTAGGTGGGGCTGGAATATCGCGGAATGGTGGTGCAGGCGCGGCGAATGGAGCAAAGAAGGATGTGCGGAGTGCGGGGAAGAGGAGGAGGCGCGGGGAGGCTACAACTTCGGATGGGGAAGACGACGCGGATGGCGATGCGGATGCGGACGCGGATGGGGAGGAGGGCGGGGAGAGCAGTGGGGGGGGTGGGAGTGGGAGCGGGAGCAGCGTGACGCCCACGCCAGCCGCGAATCTGGGGCGCGAGGTGGCGCCGCCCACGCGGTCTGGTGCTCCGATGCAGACCACGGGGAAGCGCAAGGCGGCTGACGACGAAATGGGCGGTGGGGCAGCAGGAGGGAGGAGCGTGAAGCGCGCGCGGACGGCAACGGTCTCGCCTACCTTGGCGTCGAGCTCTGGCTCGCCCGCCTTGGCGTCGAGCTTGAGCTCTACGGCACCACCGACGGTAGCGCGCATGGACAGCGCGGGGTCCGCTGGGTCGTTCGGCAGCGCGGGCACGTCGCCACCGTTGTCTGCGGCTGGATCGCCGGGGACGCCGCCATCTGCTACGGCGACACCGACGCATACAGCAACACATCCACAGACACGCACACCAGCGCCGACGCAGACACGCACACCGACAACGCATCCACAAGCACGCTCAGCGATGCCCCCGCCCGCACCCCCGCCCGCGTCGTCCTCCTCGCTCGCGGCTGCGGCTGCGGCGTACGCGGCGACGTATACGCGGAGTGTGGGGACCACGCAGGCTCCGCATACACACGGGACGCAGCCGCTGTACAAGGGCGAGGGGCCGGATGGGCCGCAGACGGGGCAGTATGCGTACCCGTACTCGTATCCGTGGGCTTATTACCCGGCGGCTGGTGCGGGCGCCGGCGGGGGTGCGGGTGCGGGTGCGGGCGCGGGGCAGGCAAGCCACCAGCAAGGGCAGGCGCAAGCGCAGGTGCAGGCGTACACGACGCACCCCGCGGTGTGGGCGCCGGTTTATGGGCAGCCGCATGCGTATGTCGGGTCGCAAGTACACTCGACTCTACCCGGACATCCGCATTCCGCCCACCCACGTGCGCAGGAGGAGGAGGACAGCGGGAGTGGGAGCGGGAGCGAGGGTGGGAGTGGGGAGGGGTAGCGCCACCACAACGACATCGACAGCCCGCAGCACACCTCCACCGAGTCCCGCGTCCTCCCTAGCACCAGCACCACTACCACCCACCACTGGTTTCTAGCTTCTTGTCCATCCATCTCATTCGTTCCGTCCACCTTTCTTGATTACTTGTCTAGTCTCCTCGCCATCTCCCTCTTCCCCTCGTCGTCTCGCTCTTCCCCTCGTCGATCCCACTCGCTTTCCCCGTGTAATATCATAATCCCTGTTGTTGTGCTGTTAGTGTAATGTCTCTTCTTGTCCATGTTACTCATACTACTGTACATACGTCGTGTATCGCCTACGTTACCTACTCTCTTTCTTTCCTCTTTCGCCCCTTTCTACCCGATTGCATTACTCCTCTTTGATTCCTTGATTCCTTTTTTTTTTGGGTCGTTCGATTTTCCGATTCGTTTTGTATGCGCGAAACTACATACATGGTATAATGCGCCTGTGTATATTTTTTGTATAGTGTCCGATGTGTAATTTGAATGGGGCAGTTGCCTCGAATTGCTCAATAGTAAATGTTCATTACCTAGTATATTAATGAACGCTTGAGGGCTCAACAACGCCAAGGCTCGGATTATTGAGTGGTAGACCTACTGGTGATACTGGTATCACATCCACGGTCAATAAAGCCTGGTTGTCCAGCGCTATGTGGGCGGAAGTTCCCCCTTCGATTCGGGGGGTCATGGCTTTGATTCGTGTTTTCTTTTTTTTTGGTTCGTCATAGGTTCAGAACGTGTGGCACTGGGCGAGGACAAAGCTGAAGTCGTGGAAGGGGCATGCTGGTGAAATTATTTATCGCTCTTGAGCTTGCCAATTTTCCAGTGGAAAATTGGGATTAAACTGTCGCCAAAGTTCAAATTTGTGAACGTTCAAACTTGAACTGTTGAGTTACCTCCACCGCGTCTTAGTCGCGTCGCAGTTAAAAAAAGGGAGGCAAGGGTTCAAATATTTCAAAGGAAGACCTACTGGTGAAACTGGTATCACATCCACACTTGATTCAAGCTTGGCGCCTTTGGTCGCAGATGCGGAAGTTCCCCGTTCGATTCGGGGGTGGGTCCTGCTTGACGGGCTTGGCGTCCTTTTTTTTTAATGTTGTGCAAAAAGAAGAAAAAGGGCTAGGTCTGGGCCTTCTGGGAACGCCGTGTCGGGAGTTCCTCGCTCGATTCTGGGGTGGGTCTTTTGAAATTCTAGTGCTATTTTTTTTCAAGAGGTCGCGACAGAAATTGAACTAGGTGAAAGTCCTGTGTACCGGAGAACTTTCAGTCCACCAATTTGGGAATCACTTTTGAACTCTTGAAAGTGACTCGAGAGTTGTTCTCGTCGTAAAATTGCTTGACCAACCGAAGTGCGAATTGTTCGAAAGAAGATAAGTAAAACTAATGAATCCCCGATAAATAAATGGACAGCGGATGTGGGTGGAGGTTCCCCGTTCGATTCGAGGACGTTCCTCCCGTGCTGGTTTGTTTTTCTTGGTTTGTCAATCGTCATATTGCTGGTTGGAAGTAAATTGTTGAGTTGTACCACTGTGTCTTAAGTTGCAAGGCTTTGAACGCAGGGCTGAATGTTTGAGTGGAAGACCTGCTGGTAACACAGCTATCACGGCCACGTTGAATTCGTTTGCTGGAAATGAAATGTGGGGGTGAGGCATGCCCGGGAGTTGTTGAATTTTTCAAGGGATCCCATTACATAAAAGAAATTTATGTTTCTTGTGAGCGTGGACAAGTCCTGCCTGTGAATTTAGCAATGAACTCAGAAAGTTGAGGCTCCATACATATTCCTGGTACCGATTTAGGTCCAGGTCTCCCTCATAATTCAATTTTGCTGAATATTAAACCCTCGGAATGACCAATTCCCGCTATTCTATAGTGGGTTCTTGTAGTAACCTTGCTTGGCAAGCTCCCCCTCCTCGGAAATTATCTAAGCAACAGTGCACCAAACAGACCATCATACTATTCGAGGCGTGCCCTAGGGTATTCAGTGTGCTGAAAACAAACAAAACACAATAGACCAGATTAGATAGGCGGCCCGTCCCCGCGCCAGTACTATTCGAGGCGTGCCCATGGATTCAATGACTGGTGGGATGGCCGGCAAGCGGCAGGTCACAAACCAAACCGCTCGCTCGGGCCGCGCTTCGCGCGCCCCTCCCGAGCTCATTGGATCTGGAATTGCCGAGAGCTACGTGGAGATTACATAACATCTTTTGGCGACAATCCTGAGCATGGTAAGACACAAAGTGTCCAAACAAGTTTGGTTTGTGAATGTGCTAAAAACAAATACATCACAACAAACGCGATTAGATTACTTCGTCCATGTCACGCAGCGGTGTTGTACTTCGCTCAAAATCTATGGTATCCGACTCGCTATTCTCGCCGTCGTCTCGCGTTCCAACTGCGCCAGCCTCTCGTCCTCGCACGCAAGGTCGGCCGAAGGATGCGTCGGAAACAGCAGGGGGTCTAAACCTCGAAGGAATTGAACCTACTTTCTCGCGCGGCTCCGGGATAAAGCCACGTAGGCATTAAATGGCGTCAAAACGCCTCGAGGCGGAGGCGCCAGATCGATAAGAATATAGCCCATGGTTTGTCCTTGCACCTTATAATCTGTAAACACGTACCCACCCGTTAATGCCAGCTGCCGTCGCTTGATGTTATGTTTTTTTTCCCGCCCCATTGTGGATCTGGAAGCTGTTCGACGACGGCACGATAGGTAGAAGGCCGTCCGGTAACTCTTCGAAAACCGGTAACTCCTCTTCCTTGCTATCCGGACGAAAAAGCACCAGCGTGGGAGGATATTTCAACAGCCCGGCGCTGGTGGCGGGGTCCTCGCATTCTGCATCGGGCTCGCGAGGGTCTAGGATGATATCTTTAACACTCCCGCACATACCGTTCGCCAAGTATGTTTTTGGATGTTGCAGGTGAGTGCGTCACCGAATCTTTTCCTCTACGCGCAAAGTGTACGTATATATATTCGGCGACTCAACCAGTCTCTTTAAGTTATACTCAGATATGTTGTGTAAAAGTCAAATTTCTACAGACGAAAGGAATTTTTTGTTTACTATCAAAGCACTTCCAAGCAAGGTCAAAGACTGCACGGCATGCGCCGGCCACTGGTTAATGAAAAAGTGATTGAAATCCGCCAGAGTTCTTCAGAGCCTCCACCCGTGCCTGTTCCACAACCTCCGCCGCCGCAGCCAGTGCAAGGTTATTCAGCCGTCGAGTTCGACAATACGGATGCGCGTCGTGCTGACCCGAAGAGCGCAGGGCGTGGAAGCGAAAGGAGTGGTTTATAAAACAAAAACGAACAGGACTTCCTAGTGTAGGGAGTCCGTGTGCGGGACGAGTCTATTTCGAACTCGTACTCTCTGTAGCGGCCGACTCGCCTGATGCGCCTGGCCCGCCGACTCCACGTTTAATATCGATATTGTGGGGCAAGCTCACTGGTAGCCAGTACCCCAACCCCACGTCCGATACTAGTTCTCTACGGAAATTTATATCCTTTTGTGGGTGCCAACATTACAACACCAACTCACCAGTGTCGCGGGGTGGTGAGTCTGCGTGGGTCGAGCTCTGGGCGGGACGGGGGTGAATCCTTTGCAGACGACTTGAATGGGAACGGGGGTGGCGGTTGCTTCAGTATTGTTATTATTCCAACAATGCTCCCGTGTAGAAAAAAAACTGGCTAGAGGGGGTTCCACTCCCCGCATCCGACTTCGGAAGGGGTCACCCGTACACGCGACTGTAATTGTTTACAATACCTCGACCTTGATCGCTCTTACCGTCCCCCTTATCTCGTATCCACGTCACTTTTTGTGTCGAACTCTCACGCTCGTCCACCGGGCTCTAAGCAGTGCGGAAGTCTGAGTTTTTGCGCGACTACCACTTGCTTTACTCTATCGTCATGTTCTTCTCCCCACAATATCGCGAGTGAAATTAGGACCTTAGAGACGACGAGAGAACGCACCCCAGACGCGCCGATCCATCATATTTTCCGCTCATGGTACCATTGATTCTTCATACCCAGTACGCACAAACCTGTAGCGGACATTAAAACTTATGCTAATTTAATTATTCGTAATTGATATTTCTTTTGGCCCATGCCGCTGCTGATCAAGAAATATTAACAGCCGAGGGACATCTGGCGTCGTAGTTTCCAACGTCACGTTAGGCATCCTTGAGTTGAATCTACGCGTCGACGTTCTCTCTACCCCCTCCCTGGAATGTCCTCAATCCGAATCGCTTCCCAATCGTCCCTTTTAACTCTCATCGTCCCTCTCTGTACCCAAGCCTCGCCAAACCGACACCCCCCCCCGTCTCGATCTGCGCATCTGCGCATGACATGTTGCAAGCTGCTGCGCGTTTTTCAGATTTCGATCATTTCCTTTTTCGCCGCTATATCAGGTGACCCATTTTTTTCTCAGTTCCCGCAATTTTCCGATGCCGCCGAGTTTGGCCTAAAGATCCCCTATTTGTCCAATCTCTACCGATCCTTGTCTTCTACTTCGATGTCCTTCCTTTGGAACGGAAGGAAGCTGACACCGTTGTCCCGGGCTTTCTTTGCAACAAATCCGGTCCCGCACACGCTCTGGTGCACAGTGGTGCTTTTTTTCCTTACCATAATTGTGCAGCACTGGTCACGGGTCCTACTTGCCGCCTGATTCTGACTTGTTAATAATTTACACACTACAACAGCGTGACACTCGGTACGCTGCCGCCATTGCGCGACATTGCCGCATCGTTATATCTTCTCAATTTCCGCTTTGAGAAGTGAGTTGTTCTTTCGGTTTACTTGAATCTCTTCAACTATTAAAAATATTTGGACTGCAGTACTCCTCCCAGAGTCTGCTTCTGAACCATTGTGACGTTGGCCTCGTTATCATCGATGGGTTATTTACTTTCCAATACATCTCACTGGTCAAATTGTATTTGGGAACCCAAGCATGGTGGGGCAGTATTTATATAGCATGTTCTCACCGTTTTGGTATCTCCCTTGCTTGCTTACCCACTACAGGTAAAAATTGTTGTCCAGCCCCTTGCCCCCCCCCCCATCATCAGCTGAAACACTCAGCGCATCTGCTGGGGTGTAATATTCACAGAAGATGTAAGTAAAGTCCTTCTTTAACTGAATAAATGCCAGGCCGCTTTTGATAGTATCGCCTAAACACATCGGGTTCGCCGTGATGCAAAAGGCATCAGTTATTGCTACATGAAAAGCAACATATTTACTTTTCACTTTTCCTCCAGTGAGGCATGGCCAACGGCCATGCTTGGCTTCGCCCAATCTGAGCTGAGGTTGGTGGAAGCATTGGTTGGGCGTGGAAGCATCTTTCGCTCAGTCACTGCTTCGCATCGACCAGCTCAGATTGGGTATGGAAGCATTGGAATGAGTTGTTTGAGAAATATAGCTTACGGGTCCAAACCTTTCCATTACTGGTTGAATATTGGGAGTTGATCCTGGTTTGATAATGTGTGAATGACTCTCTTTTGTGTGATTCATGGATTGGATAAATGTCTCTTCAAATCTTCCTAATTTCAATGGAGGCCTGGACATCCATGGCACACAAATGTTATACCTCCCCTCCAGATACTTAACTATGTAATTTGAGGCTTTTGAGTCCCTATCCAAATTGAGATCAGAGTGGTGATAAAGTTCAAGGCTTTGCATTACGAAGTTTAGAAAATGAGAACATATCAGATCTTGGCTCCATGGATTACCGTCACGTTTGACTCCCGCTGAAGATAGAATAGCGGGCCCTGCCGCAGAGCGGGCCTACGGAGATTATTTTTTTCGAAATTTGTACATCGTCATGTGATTTGCCGGTCTGACCCGGTACCTCTACGTCGTGCAACTTACATAAATTTAAATTTGGTTTTTTTGCAAATCTCCGTGTTTGATCCGCTCTCGTCGCGACTTCTTCCGAGTCTGCTGCTGGTCCGTGAAGTTCCGCTTATCGTTTATGCCAGCGTCTCTGTATTTGATTGAATAAGTTCCTGGTACCAAATTAGGTCCATCTCCCTCTCATACAGTGATTTCGTGTTTTTTATTCCGGTTGCTATCTACAGTT